TAACTCAATACATAATAAAAACAGTTACTCACACTTGTGTTGCGACATTACTGACGGATCCAATATAGTCGGCACAGCATCGTCCTTTAGTTTTAATCTTTCTGCAAATCCTGCATCGAATTGCCTTGTTTGTAAACGAATCCATGGTAAAAATTAAGTAAGCAAAGGACCGAGTTCTTACTGACGTGGTCTGGATCTTCATTTAAATTAAAGTTAATTTACTCTTTCCAAACGTTGGGATCAGAAGGAACACAAACACTGTTTTTCCACAACTTGGCACTGCACAGCATCTTGTTGTCTTCAGAACCATCTTTATCGTTTGGTTTCTGCGTAGACCTGGACATTCGCCTCGCTCATAAACACTATATGCGCGAATCGGTGGGCGGGGCTAAACAGGCAGTGTTGTTGAAGCAGGCGTTAATCTTTTTCTGTGGAGGCGGTGCTTATCCACACTGTTACATCATAGAATAGAACATTCCAAAAGCTGTCTTTTTGGCAGACTGCCTTCAATATAAGCTTACAGGATATTTATATAGTACAATGACCTCTTATGTCAAAAGATCAAGAGAAATTTGGTTTCTCAGTTCATGACCCCTTTTAAGGCTGTGTGTCCACTAAAGCATTTAAAACACCAGGCACTGAAAAAAAAGCGTTTTTTTTTAGTTGAGACGCTGTGGCTACTATGATACAGAATATCTGCTGTAGTAATATGACAGACACATTGCGATTTAAATGTATCTTTAAGCATAATTTTTCATAATATTATGGTAGTCTGGCAATTCTACCTGGTAAAGACATACATATTCAGAGACAAGCAATATTAACATCTCCATTGTTGTACAGAAATAGTACAAGCAGGGTGTGACAGTTGGTCAGTGTGGTATTAGTCCCCCCCCTCCTCTGCTGTGATTGGTTATCTGACTAAAAAGTGACAGTGATGAGTGCTCCGTTTTACCTAAAGGTAAACATATTTCAACCCTCAGTGCCAAGCACACAGCACTCAGCGTGAAAAAAACACTCAGTGCCTCATCACGCTCCTGCCGTTTTTAAAAAATGCGGCAATCCCATTGAAAACAAGGCTTTTAGTTGAGGTCATTGATAATCTATTTATTATAAGAGAATTAAAAAAAATTACATACTTTAGAGCAGGGCTGTCCAAACTCGGTCCTGGAGAGCCGGTGTCCTGCAGAGTTTAGCTGCAACCCTAATTAAACACACCTGAAGCAGCTAATCAAGCTCTTACTAGGCATAGAAACGTCCAGGCAGGGGTGTTGGGGCAAGTTGGAACTAAAATCTGCAGGACACCGGCCCTCCAGGACCCAGTTTGGACAGCCCTGCTTTAGAGAGTATAGCATGATTTGCAACATGTATTGTAGCTGTAAAATGCATTTTTTCAAGCTAATACATGTCATGCTTAACTCTCCTTACTGATTATCATTCTCTTTGTCATTGTTTTTGTCCTTTTAGTTGATGGATTTTTTTTTTTGCCAAAGTGTTTGAATGTATCTTTTCAATAAATTTATAAAAATAAAAATTGAAAATGTATTTTTAAAAATAATAAAATCGAACAGTGCTTATCCAGGTCAAAGTGATTGAGATGGCCAATCAAATAAAGGAAGGTTGGTTTTCACATCCATGTTATAAGTGGCCCAAACTCACAGCACTTGCATGAGATGGAGTTTGTGTGGAGCAGCATTTACTATGAAAGACACTGAAAACACTGGATCAAGAACTAAACCTTATCATGTACTTACAACCATGCATTGTTTTTTATTCATTTTTTACGTAGAATTCATAAAAAAGTTATCAGCCTAACTGGCAAGCAACACTAGTTACATATACTTGCCAAGGCCAGTTTTACTTATACTTGGCACTTGGCAAGTGGTAATTTTGGACCCTTTCTAAGATGCAAAGTACACAATGCACACACAGTTGCAGGGGCGTCATAAACGGGAAAAGCGGGACAGAGTGCATAAGGCCCAGAGGCTTAGAGGGGCCCACAACAATGTCCTTTGGGGGGCCCGGCTGAGATGAAATAAATGTATTTTGCAGTTTCTTTAGCAATTTTTTCAGGCCATTTTAAAATTTCAATCTTATATTCAAAATACAGTCAAAATGGACATTTGTATGAATATGAATAAAAATGACGCGCGATCTGGAGACTCCGTTGCTATAAAAAAAACAAACATGCCAAAATGCAACGAGGTATTAGAGAAGGCTTCTCTAATACCTCGTATGAAATTGATTTAATTATAATTGCTATTAGTATTATAAACAGTGCAAAATACTTATTTGTTGATTCAACTGTGTTGGCATTTGGACAAATCCCGTCCCGTATTGATTTGATACGATACGCATCATTTTACGACTCCGTATTTTTATGGTGTTCACACCAGACGCGAAGCGAATATGCGCATCGCGTCACTCGCTCTAGATTACTCGCGGATGTTTTTCGAGTCACTCGCGCGAATAAAAACAGCGCGATCAACCATGGTGGCGATAACTACAATTGCTGTTTTGTACCTGTTGTCAAAAAGTCCCAAATACAATGGAAAGCCAAACGCTGACCTGTCTACAGCACCATATGAGGATGAATAGTTCGTTTCCTGTATTAATGTGTTACATTTTACTACTGTATATATACACTGATATTATTAATTGTATTATTGATAGCAGCATCTCTGTAGCCATGCTGATAAAATATAACCACCACAACTGATTTTAATTGTTTTCTATGCTCCAGACCTATATAATAACAGACGGCTGCAATAATGCTCTCTTCTATTGTCTGATTCAACTGGACGATTGGCTTGCGCGAGAACGCGTTAGGTGAATTTTCCGCGAAAGACGCGATTGAGGCGAATATCTCGCGTTCGCGGCAAACGCGTCGCGCATTTAGCGTCATTCGTGTCGCGAATTCGCCTCTATTCGCGTCTTTGCATTGACTTTGTATGTAATCTACACGCGCGAATAATTAAATTCGCGTTTGGTGTGAACACACTGTTACACTTATAATTTAATCAAGATTTTTACATCAAAAACCATCATAATTTAGAAGTAATAAGCTGTTTTCTGTCCTGTTTTTAACACCCTTCATCCGAAAGCGCCATTTGAATGGGGGGGGGGGTAATTTTACTTTAACCCGAGCTCGGAGCCCTCGCTCTGGACAGCACACCAAATATGCTACTAATTGCTCAATCACATTATATGTTAGTGCGAACTTGTGAAACAGTATTAATGCATTTACAAAACTTTAACAAAAAGTTTGTGGCAGTTGTGGCCTAATGAATAGAGTCGGACTTGTAACCCGAAGGTCGTGGGTTCGAGTCTCAGGTCCGGCAGGAATTGTTGTGGGGGGAGTGAATAACCAGTGCTCTCTTCCACCTTCCATACTACGAATGAGGCCAGACCTTTGAGAAAGGCACCGAACCCCCGGGTGCCGCAGCAATATGGCTGCCCACTGCTCCAGGTGTGTGTGTGTGTGTACTTGGATGGGTTAAATGCAGAGCACAAATCAAATATTGTCTTCGACAATGCACGAGTCAAAAAGGTTGAAAACCACTACCTTAAGACTTTTAATAACTCAAATGTTTTACTTTTCTCCCATTTTTTTTTTACAATTTCACATGAATATTGTATGAGCTGTACTAATAGTATAGCATTTATTTAACCAAAGAAATGCTTATCTGCTTTTCTGTGGCTTGTGCATGTTTTGCAGTGATTTTCTGCTTCATGAATTCAATTAATGTAAGTATTTGTTTCCTTCTGTCTGTAAGACTCATTAAAGTACACTCCAAATATTGTCTTCGACAATGCACGAGTCAAAAAGGTTGAAAACCACTACCTTAAGACTTTTAATAACTCAAATGTTTTACTTTTCTCCCATTTTTTTTTTACAATTTCACATGAATATTGTATGAGCTGTACTAATAGTATAGCATTTATTTAACCAAAGAAATGCTTATCTGCTTTTCTGTGGCTTGTGCATGTTATGCCGTGATTTTCTGCTTCATGAATTCAATTAATGTAAGTATTTGTTTCCTTCTGTCTGTAAGACTCATTAAAGTACACTCTTAAAAATAAAGCTGCTTCAAAAGGTTCTTCAAGCGATGCCATAGAAGAACCATTTTTAGTTCCACAAAGAACCATTCAGTCATAGGTTCTTTAAAGAACCATCTCTTTATTACCTTTTTATAATCTCAAGAACCTTTTGTGAAACAGAAAGGTTCTTCAGATGTTAAAGGTTCTTTATAGAACCATTTAGACAAAAAGGTTCTTCTATGGCATCGTGAAGCACCTTTATTTTTAAGAGTGTAGCACACAATCCGTTCTGCAGATGTGTTCAATAGACTCTTTAGTCAGGGCACACCAGTCTAATACTTGTGCTTAAAAATCAAATGGCTGTTTAATGCTTTATTTTAAAGAGATATATTATATCATCATTATTATTAATAATATCATTATTCCTACAAATACATGAATCCCGGCACTTTGAAAAATGTTTTCTTTCATTTTGTCTTTGTTAAAACAAGAAAGCTAAAAAATATCCTATGGTGAAAAAATAAAGCAAACAACAAACAATTTAAACATTGAGAAAAAGAGAAAAATCACAAAAAGACAAATAAAACTATAACAAAATTGAAAAAAAGAAATTCTACATTCTTTACAAACACTATGGCCCAATAATTTAAGAAAATAGTGTCTCTAAAACGTCCATATTGCTTTGTACCTTCATCAGTGCCCTTTAGGGAGTTCAGCAATACAGTGCTGTGAAGTCTTCACAACGGCCAAAAGTGGACGCCCTCCTCCGAGGAGGTCATGAGGTTGCCAGTGAATCGGCTGGCATCTTTGAGGAGAGAGAGTCCTGTTATTAGCTTGTTTAATCCTCAGCACAATGTCCTTTTGTGTTCTTTTGGCAGTAGAGAAAAAAATACAAGGTATAGTTACTATTCCTCATGATCATGGAGTATTCACCATTGTTGCATTTAGCATTATTACTCTCTAAGATATTATTACTATTACTATCACCATCACGGATACACAGAGTGCATCGTGTGTCATGTGCGCGTGTGTGTGTGAACGTGTAAGTCAAGTGTTCAGTGCTCAGAGCTTGTATTCTCAAAAGAGAAGCTAGGCAGAGTCAATAGCTTGGAGTTCGGGACGCCTTCTTGTGGCAGCCCATCTCCTCCTCCACCCAAATCAAATGAGTCCTTGGAGTCACTGGAGGGAGCGCGCCTCCTCAGGCAAGTGTCCCGATTTGGCAATGGGGGTGGCACCATCCCCAGAGCAGGGTGAAGGCCTCCCAGAAGCTCCGAACCTTCGGGCGGATCCACAGAGATGCACGGCGGACTCATCTTTTTCTTGCGGCCGCGTGGAGAGGACTGCTGCTGGAGGCTGTCGCCTCGCGACACGAAGCCGGAAGAGATCGAACTGCGCTGGGGACTGCTTTCCATGGATGAGCACACCTCAATGGAGTGCCGACGTGGGTCGTCAAGCCAGGACAAGGGCCGTGGTAACAGCAGAGCTCGCTGGCCCTGAGTGTCCACGCTGTGGTACTTCTTAAACTGACGTCTTGCACCTTGATCTCCTGTCCCTTCCCCGATCCCATCGTCACTCCTCCCTGCGAGCCCCGCCCGGATAATTCGGGATACCTCCTGATCCACAGAGTCCATTTCCTCCTGCTTTCTGGCAGCCAGTGATGGGAGGGGTGGAGAGCAGGAACGCTTGGAGAACACGTTGTACTGGTCGTAGGGGTTGTGCTGTGTGTGGACGCTAGGTCGCAATGGTTTCGGGGAGGCGCCTGGTGTGGCAGGGACCAGAAAGAGGGAAGGCTGGTGCTGCTGCTGAGGTGGAAGGTTGACATGGGGGTCCGACAGTTCCCTAAGCCCCAGGGGACCCTCGTTTTCCCCTCCCTCTGTGTATAGAGTCTCCTGAGAGTCAGCACTCACTGCCACCTGAAGAGAGCAGGGACAGGAGGAGGTGAGGGGAAGGTAAGGGGTAACATTAGGGATTAGAACATGAACAGGTGAAAGGGAGACTGGTTAGTATGAGATGTTAGGGATGTAGAAGCTAGTGGAAGGGGAGGGGAGCCGTGGAGTTAGAGTGAAGTTCACCATTAGCATTGCACTCCACAAGCTCTCTGCTTCAAAGGATTGGAGGTGAAATTAGAAAAATAGAGAGACCGCCTCAGGGCATCTGTTTTGAATGCATTCGTAGCCCCAATCAGAGGTAGCCAACATTTAGAATCTGTTGTTGGTATTCTTCATTTTTAAAAGTTTGTATCAAACTTGAAAGTATCAAATGAAGTAACTCGCCACAAAACATACCAAAAGTCCCAGCCACGCGATAAACCTTTAACTGACAAAAATAGTGCTTAAATTGTGCTACAAAGTTCAATAAAACTTGCTTAATAGTAGTTACACCTTCTGAAGTAACAACAACCAGTTAACCACTAGTTGAAAACATTCTTAGGCCTTTCAGTCTCATGGGCGGTCCTAGGGATGGGCTTCCAGGGCTTATGCCCCCATTTTTTTATTGCTTTGAGTTTTAATGTTAGCTTTCTAGTCATCTGCTCTATAAATCAGACATAATGAAGAAACTAGAGGATCTATTGACTTTTTGGTGAGACTCTTTGTTGCAGCCTAGAATTAAACTTCTGGTTTTGTCTGGCCAGAGGAGAATGGCGCACTATTTCGACACACTATTTCCCTGTTTAATACTGTAAAGCTGCATTGACACAATCTGCATTTTAAAAAGTGCTATATAAATAATGGTGATTTGACTTGCACTCCGTCCAGATGCAATAAGCACCAAGTATTTTACAAACAGAATGGAATATATTTGTTAGTGTGACCATATTTTAGTTTTCAAATAAGAGGACAGTGGGTGCAGGACGAAGACAGTCACCTGTCACCATTTTGCAGATTGATCATAAACACAGCTAAGGCTTCCTACTGGTGGCCATCCTTCTCAAAACTTAGCATCTACCACAGTTTTATCATAGGTAGAATGCAAAATGTTTCAATACAAGTATTTCAGTGAAATGTAACTTATGCAATATTTCTAATCTTCAACCCACGGGAGAAAATACACCTGCCGCAACAGTTTAAAATCAGCCCAATTCCGCGCAAAAAAAACCCTGCATCCAACACTAGCTGCATCCGCAAATTGATAGCCGCGCTCTGATGCGCGAAAATTATATTCAACATTAGAATGTTTGCGGTAGCAGGTGGTAATGGTCAGAAAATGGGAGCAGGATTAAGAAAACAGTCCAGCTCAGGGCTTTAACACAAAAATGCACACAATGAATGGCGATTATAGAAAGCAAAAGCCAAATCCCGGACATTTTTTTCAATTTTTAGATCCAAAAAGAGGACCAGGGAAAAGAGGACGTATGGTCACCCTAACTTTTGTACTCAAGCCTGACTGCTTGCGGCTCTTGGAAAACTCTTTTATAAAAGACCATGAACAAGGCCACCAACTTTACAAACTTTGGTAAAGCAACATGTTTTCTCTCATGTAAAGAGTACACTAACTTTTGAACAAAAACACTTGCAATGACAAGTGAAAGTCATGACACTACTGGCAACCTGTACACAACTACAGAAAGCTTGAAGGCAGCATGATTTTGGCATGCATATAGATAAGACCTGTTTATTTTTTTCAGCAATATATAAATATTTACTTCATAAAAATGATTCCTTACTTTAAAGTTTATAATATTCTAATAAATGATGATTCATATGTATCCTCAGAGGTTTGGGCAAAGCACGTATATCTCCTGACCCTAGAACCGCACCTGGACCTTCTTATCGCCTTCACTGATAGGAAATGTACACTGTGTGCACTTTCAACAAAATCGGAAAGTGTACAGGCTACTGGAGAAATTAGCAAATAAATGTCTTCCTTTTGCTGTATATCTTGGTCTCCTCTTCGACATTGACACAATGCCCGAGTAGCAGTACTGTACATGCTACTGCTGTGGGTAAAGTCACGTAGGTGAAAACTTACAATATCAATTGCACTTTCAGAGCAAAGTTTGTAATAGATGTACTGTTTTAACTAGGGCAGATAAACATTTACCCTAGGGTAAAAATACAGGCACTGTTTAGCAGACTGCACTCTGAGCCACTGGGCTACTGCAACAGACCACAAGACCCACGTCTCTTCCTGGGGTCTCCTTCTCTCAGAATTGTACCTAAAACTGTCCCTTTCTTTGAATCAAGGGAGTCGGAGAGAGGCACCGGCCCAGTAGGAGAGATGTGGGTGGGTGTTTTGGGAGGGGCTAAAGATCACGAGGAGCCATGTCATATTTGGAAAGTTAGCTGACATTGAATAAGAGGCTGAGCCATATTGGCTGAGCCATTGAAACTTGTATGATTGAAGCTATGCTGCCCCCTAGTGGCAGGAAGTTGATTTTACATTTGCATGACAAATGATTGACTACATGGCATGCATGGGAAACCAATATATATATAATTTAATGAACATGTATTGTTGTTGTTAATAATATTTTTATAATTAAGTTAAAATAAAGTTAATGTTAAAAACAAACAGCTAAACTAATACTGTTTGAATACATATTTTTGGAAGATTATCATATAAAAATAACTACCATCTGCGTTTACATATGCTTTAACAGGAATTCAATATAATTATTGTAGATCTTAAGAATATCTTTTTTATAAATGCAACTCAGTTGAGTGTATAAGATGTCAGTCAACTAATTTCTTTCCTCTTGATCTTTACCCTGCACTTTTGGCCTTTTCAGTAGCCATGGTGAAATGCGTTGGGCTGGAGGAACGGGATTTAAGGGGTGTGGTAGGAGAAAGAGGGACAGAATTGGGGACGGAGTTCAAGGATCTGTGGCGCTGGAGGCCAGCTGAACCAAGCAGCCTATTCCAGCTCTCTCAGAAACAGGAGTATCTGTGCCTCAGAAGCAGCTCGGGGTCAGGCTTGGGTTGCATCATGCTGAGCTGCTCGGAGTGAGTCACATTAGAGGGTACGCAGGCCAAAAAGCAGCAGAAAAAAAAGGAGAGAATGCAGGAAGGATTTAGAGAAGAAATATACTAGCCAGAGGGAGAGATCAACAGTGCAGAGGTGTCAGACTTCATACCACTCACATTCCCATAAGTCTCCAATCACAATCCATAGACAAGGAACAATATGCATTATGAAAGAAGACAAGCAGAGAAAAACTGCTCTGTTACAAAACCTAGTCAGCTGCCTACAGAGGCAATAGAGTCATATGCTGCTCCTGATACCGAGGTTATTCCAACATGCTTAAAATACTCACTTCAGCCAGATTCTAAAGTTGCATTCCAAATGCAAATGTACTATACACGGTGTACTTCTGCTACACATCACATAGTCTCAACACAGTGTGTATGAAATTTAGAAGGCCTGTGCCATTTTTAATTAAATACTAATCTTCTTTTCTTTTTTTTTTTTTACTTCACAGAACCATTTACTGGTGATTCAGTAGAACGAGGGACATTTCAAAATGCATATCATATGCTGCAGCTATAGCTTCAGCACGTTAATCCATTTTCTTACCACTGAGTGCACAAAGTGTCTACTTGTGCTCTATGCCTTGCCAATGCAAGAAATTTCACATGTATTGCGTAAAGGGCAAAGAAACTAATGCCTTTATTCATGCAATAAATTCAGTAAAAGTGACAGTAAAGACAATGTTACAAAAGATTTATATTTCAAATAAATGCTGTTCTTTTGAGCTTTCGATTCATCAAAGAATCCTGAAAAATGTATCATTTGAACAAAAATAATAAGCAAAACGTTTCTTGATCAAATCAGCATATCATGATTTCTGAAGTATCATGTGCCACTAAAGATTTGAATAATGGCTGCTGAAAATTCAGATTTGCCATCACAGGAATGAATTACATTTTAAAATATATTCAAATTGAAAACTGTTATTAGGGGTGGGCGATATGACCAAAATCTTATATCATGACATGAGTAATTTTATATCATATCACTATAACAATATTTCAATCATGATTTAACATGGTGATGGTTATGACAATGTTAATGTATTTGGTCTTGGCTGAATAGATCCGCTACGCTGCTGCTGCTGCTGAGTTGCTGCTGCTGTTGGTTATTGCTGTAGTTGTAGATTATTGCTGCTGCTGCAAGCAAGTACAGGAACTTGCTACTGCCAATGCATACGGCGATACGGTGCCGTGAGTATTTAAGACATACTGCTGCTGCAGAAATAGCATATAAAATAATCCCCCAACAAAGCTGGAAGAAGAAAACAAAACAGTTAAATATTTATGCTGCTGCTATACAATAATATGCTTAAATAATGTAAGCCTGGGCTGGCTTTGCCGAATGGCTTAATGCTAGTGAACTATTGCTGTGTGTACCTGATCGGTTGACCAGATAGCTTAAACTAGGGACCGGAGTTAAAAGTGTTTCTGGACTAATGGAGCCCAGATAAATTAACTAGTGGCTTAACGATGTGAACCTGGGTGCTGTACCCTTAGTTTTATTTAACTAATGACCTAAATAACTATGTGTTTCTGAGCCAATAGCTCAAACTTACCTAGGTAGAAACGCGCACTGCATGTCGTTAACAGACAGGAATCACACTGTAGGCTGATAGTTGAAGTAAACCCCCAGCAACCACCTGGCTCAGGCGGCCTGATCAAATAGTTTTAAATTTGTCATTCAAGAGTTGTAATTTTTTTTCCCCCATTAACGTTCATCAAAGTTATTACAATGGAAATACTTACCTTTAACTTATTAATAAGCTAACAAAATATGTGGCGAAATAATAAATCACTGTACACCCTGTAGTTGTGGTGTCATATGCCCAGGATTAATTCTGCCTCAAAAGCAGCTTCTCATTTATTTTGATAATTTAAAATATTTATATTGCATATTAGAACAATAATGTTTGCATTGTATGAACACATCATTGCTAAATGCA